TTGCAGGGTCCCCTCAGATACTTAACAGCTTAAAGGGAAAACAGCATCCTCAGAGTCAGACCTCATAGAAATGTCATAGAAACACTACCTCACTTTTTTTTTTATCCTTTCTCTATGAATGACTGGAGAGGGACAAGCCCTGGTCTTCTGAAGGGAGAAGGTGCAGCTTTGAGGGGTGAGGAGGAGGTACTGAGAGTCAAGAGTGGTTTGGCAGACAACATTCCTGATTGGTGAGAAGTGTGTAGTTTCTTCACTCCCTCCTAGTCCAATGCCATCATCTCACCATCCTCTCACTGAAGGCCAAGGGCCTCTGTAGGGACAATCCTGAGCTCATTCTCACCCTCATTCTCTTGCCTTCATTTCGTGCTGCAAGGCTGCAGAGTTTTGAGGACATAGAATTGGATCCTAAGTTTTCCCATAAATCTGCTTGGTTTAGGAACTTTTTATCTTCTCCATATGTTTAGGGCTTTGAACATATAATAAGGCAGCTTTTAATAAAGGGTTGAGTATTTTGAGGACATGTATTTACGTTTTAAAGTAAAGGTAGAAAGAGAAAATGGAAGCATTGAACAGAAGTAATGAGAACTATGAAGGGAGGGAGGTTTTAATTCATGCTAGTTTCTCTATATGGTCATCATGATTAGCTCAGAGCTCCCTAGTAGGTTGAGTAAAAAGAGAAATATGTTTACAAATTCTTTTTATCATAAAGGTAGACATATACCAATTTTGAAAGGTATACTTTTTTATTTGCATTAAATTCCAAAAGATTTATTATGTGTGACATTTTATAGAGCAAAAATAAGGACAGCAATATTCTCAATAATGTTAACACATGTGCAGATAACACACCCCTTGCAACCTACCCCTTGTTATCACCTCAGTAAAGGTTGAGGGCAAAACATGAAGTTTGACTATTAACATCTCAGTTCCTGGGTCAATCCCAACTATGCCAAAATATAAAGCAAGCATGAAAATATGATAATATCTCATTTTCTCAACAAGAAGACCCCTCCAAAATGTTTGGCCATTTGAATAGAAATGTTTAGGGGTATAAATAGTCTACTTATACCATTTTATTTCATGATTTCATTACATACATTTAAAATCACATATAAAATAATATATTAAGAAATATGGCACTTTTTCCATTTATATTTCAGTAAAACAATAGTATGCTCACTATATTCATGTATTGTCCACATCAGTGTCTTCATCATTGTGGTCACTTTTTGAATCATCTTGTAAGGTTTTCCGAGCATAATGACTTCAATTCCAACTAATGGTTGCTGTTGAGAGATGTCATTTTTTTTTTTTAATTTGTGTATAATATCCTCACTGAAAATTGTATCCCAAGCCCCAAATACCCATTTGTGTGGCATTAGATCAGTCCCCTCACTCCCACCCCACGTATCTAACAGGGCATATTTGTGATGCCTCCACATAAAGACCTATTGTGTAGATTTTAAAAATGATCTTTAAACGAAGTCAAACATTTGCAACTAGAAGGTCATTCCTTTGGGAACCATGATTAAATTCCATTGACTCTTTTATTCCTTGTTTAAACAGGTGATTTCTCTAAGCATCTAAAACCAGACTTGATTGAGGTTATTTCCTGCCAATGTGCTCCCTCCACCCTGCTCTCCCAACAGGGCTTTGTGGTTCAAAATAAAGTAACTGAGAGTACACCTTCTAACACAAGAATCTATTACAAGGCTCTTTAAGACATTTGCAGTAGTTTTGCCACATGGTGACCAAGTGCTTAATCCGCCCATAGCACAGCCCACCTGGAAGCCCACCCAGGAAATGCTGAGTGATTTAGAAGGGGGACGCTCCTCTGGGAAACGTGAAGCCAGCGGTGCTTTGCTCAGTACATGATCTTGAGCAGGTCAGTGTAATTCTTGGGTCTCCATTTTCTTATGGGTAAAATGATGGGTTTAGGCTAGATCTGAGAGGTTTGGGGGAGTATAAGGGGGCTGTGGGGATGACTTTGTGTTTGAGGGGAGGAGGAGCCTCTCTGTTGCCATCACTTCATTCCCCAGCCAAGAGTAATTCTGCTTTGATCTATTTTATTCAAAGGGACTCCAGGTAAAATTTCCTTTGAAGTAAAGATCCATATTTTTTTAAAATTAAAAAGAAAAGGGGTGGGTAGGCTGGTATTGAGGTCTGCATGCTCTGGAGTTCTCTGACTTCAAAGCCATCAGGGGTCATAGTTACATCTTCTTATTGATGGTTAATGAGGATAAGATGTGCTTCGGTGATTGGGGGTGAGAGTGGGGGGAGACACTGCCTGTGAGTTGCTGAGCATATGCCATCTGGTGACTCAGATGTTAGAGAGCCCACCAGAAAGTCCCACCGAGCTGGAGTCCCAACATCCTAGAAAGCCTACCCCTAGTTTTATGAGAAAGAAGCAAATGGCAAAGAAGCAGTGGCTTTCAAAACTTTGCAGCATATTGAATCTCCTGGAGAGTTTTTTTAAATCCCAATGTCCGGGCCACATGCTATGCTAATTAAATCAAACCTTGGTAGAGGGACCCAAGCATCTGTAATTTGTAAATCTCCCAATGTGAGTCTAATGTTCTGTCAAGTTTAAGTAACATTGCGGTCCGGCCACCGTGGAAAACAGTATGGAGGTTTCTCAAAAGATTAAATACAGAATTAATTACCTTATGATCCCAAAATCCCACTTTAGGGTATATACCCCAAAGACTTGAAAGCAGGACCTTGAAGAGATATTTGTACACCCATGTTCATAACCACCTTACTCACAATAGCCAAAAGCTGGAAACAACCCAAGTGCCCACTGATGGATGAATGGATAAACAAGATGAGGTGAACTTCCTTAAAAAGGAAGAAAATTCTAACCCATGATTCAACATGATTGACCTTTGAGGCCATTAGGCTGAGTGAAATAAGTCAGTCACCAAAGGACAAATATGAGTTACCTACAGAAGTCAATTCCTAGAGACAGAAAGTAGAATGGTGGTTGCCAGAAGCTGGGGGAGGTGAGAATGGAGAGTCATTTAATGGGGACAGGGGCTCAGTTTTGCAAGATGAAAACAGTTCTGTAGATTGTTGCACAACAATGTAAATATGCTTAACACTACTGAATGTAAGCTGAAAAATAGTTAAGATGGTAAATTTTATGCTATGTGTACAGTAGTCTGCCCTTATCTGCAGGCTTGCTTTCCACAGTTTGTTACCCACAGCTGACCAGGTTCCAAAAATATTAAACAGAAAATTCCAGAAATAAACAATTTATAACTTTTAAATTGTGCACCGTTCTGAGTAGTGTGATGAAATCTTGTGCTATCCTGCTCCATCCCACATGGGATGTGAGTCATCCCTTTGTCCAGTGTCTCCACACTGTCATGCTCCCACCCACCCATTAGTCATTTAAGTAGCCCTCTTGGTTACCAGATTGACCGTTGGTAGGTATTGCAGTGCCTGTGTTCAAATAACCCTTATTTTACTTAATAATGGCCCCAAAGTACCAATGATGCTGAAAATTCAGAGGTGCCAAAAAGAAGTGGTAAAAGCTTCCTTTAGGTGAAAAGGTATGTTCGTGTACGAAAAATATAGTATATCAGTGATTTTCAACCTTTTTCATCTCACGACACACATAAATTCATTCTGCGGCACACCAAAAAATACATATTTTTTGCCAAACTGACAAAAAAAATAGGTACCATTTTGATTCATTCATACTGGATAGCTATTCTGGTGTTGGCTATTGTCATTTTTTAATTTGACAATCTAAGGGAAAATATGTCAGTGCCCATGACTAAATAGTCAGGTATTGCATGATTTAAAATTTCTTGTGGCACACCAGTTGAAAATCGCAATAAAACTAGTATATTCAGTACTATCCACGGTTTCAAGCATCCACTGGGGGTCTTGGAATGTATTCCCCACAAATAAGGGGAAACTACTTTAAGTGTAAAATAATACAATTAAATATAAAGTAACATAAAAAGAGTAAGTGGAATCAGGTAACACCTTGCTACTCAATCTGTGATCTGTGGGCTCTCAGCATTGGCATCTTCTCAGAAACTTGTTAGAAATGCAGCATCTCAGGCCCCACCCCAGGCCTGCTGTATCAAAACCTGCTCTTTGAGATAGATAGAGAGAGAGAGAGAGAGAGAGAGAGAGAGAGAGAGAGAGAAACATTGATGAGAGAGAAATATCATTGATCAGCTACCTCCTGCACCCCCTCACCCCCACCCCCCCACTGGGGATGGAGCCCAAACCTGGCTGGGAATCTGATCAGTGACTTCCTGGTTCACGGGTTGATGTTCAACCACTGAGCCACCCAAGAACTCCAAGGTGGTCTGTGCACACATTAAACTTTGAAAAGCACTAGTTGTGATAGACTGAATATTGGAATAGGGTTAGAAGACATAGTGGACATGGTCTTTAGGTTGTTTACCTACCCAGCATTGCTGGGGTCCAACCCCAGCAGGTCCAGGGGTTCCCAAAGGTGTAGACGGAGACAGCGTTCAGTTGATCAGCAGCCTAGCCAGGATCTCTAGCCAGGATCTCCAGCCAAGTTCTGGTCTGGATTTCCAGCGAAGTTCTGGTGTTTATTGTCTTGTTACATCTGTATTTATACCAGTTGATTTTAATCCTGTCAATTTCTATTGCAAAGGTTAGGGCGTTTCTTATCTCCATTCCAGGGAGTAAAGATTATGTAGCTTAAGCATGATTGTTTGTAGCTAAAGTGATTAACTACCCGCCTGGCACTTAGTTAAGGGGTTTTATCCCCTCCCTAACTTCAGGGAAAAATCCCTACCTGGGGAAACAACCTTTCTCTGAGAGGTGACCTTCGTTAAAACACATAGCACTAAGGGGAGCAAACATATTAAGAACAGTATGCTATATACGCCAGGTCCCTTGAAACATATGCTGTGCAGATGTTTCTTTCCTGCAGTGACTGTGTCAAGCAGCAAGGATGGACCAGCTTCCGGCACAGCATCAACCTCATCTCCTCCTACTTCTTACAGAAGCTTACATTCTCTGAGCAGCCACACGCTTACGAGGCTGACTTCATCCACACCCCATTGAGTTCCACTCCCCTGGACAGTATTACTGGTTTATGGGTAGACGTGTTGCCTGGTTCTGGCCAATGAAACTAAGGGAAGTTCTACAGAAGATGCTCTGGGCACACCAAGAAGAAATGGCCTCTCCTTCCTTTGAAAGTCTCCATGTCTGCATCTTGGGGCCCTGGGGGCAGCTAGGCTGGTCCTTGATAACATAGAGCACTGTCTGACAGAATCCTGGGTCCACCTCACCAGTGGATTTCTGTTTATGTGAGATTAGAAATGTACTTATTGTTTAACTGCTTGAATAAAGGTTTCTCTTATTTGTAGCCAAGGGTTTATCAGCCTTGGCACTATGGACATGGGGGCCGGATAATTCTTTGGGGAAGGGGCTTTTGTGTGCATTATAGAATGTTTGGCCACAACCCTGGCCTCTACCCGTTAGATTCCAACCACACTTTCCCTTCCCTCAGTTGATACAACCAAAAGTGTCCCCAGACACATTGCCAAATGTTGGTGGGGGGGAGGGGGGGGAAGAGGAGGGGGGTACCATAGTTTAGAACTATGGTTCTCAGACAAAGATGTCCTAATTATTGCAAATACCTTTTATTTAGTGGGTCTTTAGCAGGGTAAAATCACTGCCCATCCTCCAGAGTTTTCCAAGGATCAAAGTGAGATCAGGTGTGTGAGAAAAGCAAACAAATGCAAGGTGTTGCTAGTAATTACCTGTCTTTGATGCTGTTGGTAAACTGATAACGATGTTGTAGTTTCCATTTATTCTTATAATAGGCCGAGATGTTTAACTTAACAGATGGCCAAAGTGGATAGCCAATGGAATTTTCCCTCAGCAGAGTGGGGGAGCCCTGCCAGCATGCTCGCACTCTTCCTCCTACTCAGAAATCCCAATCTCTTACGTGCCCTCCCTGAGCTGAGCCAACAATTCTGGTTCATTGGCCACAGGTGATGGGTGTTGCAGAGTTCATCCATTAACACATTTTCATAAATTAAGAGCAATCTTCATATTTAGCTGCAAGAGAGAGAAATTGATGACCTCTGTATATTTGTAGCTCACACATTCGTGTGTTTGAGACCCGCAGAGACAGGGGACCCTGGACAACCTCTCTTGCCTTATGTTTCCTTTCCTAGAATCAGCCAACATGTTGAAACCACTTTCCTTAGGAACCTGCTGACTCCTAAAAATCAGTGCCTTCAGATCCACTGCTGCTTTTCATTTTAAAATTTTTAAAAATTTATTTTTAGAGAGAGAGGAAGGGAGAGGGAGAGAGAGAAACATCAATGAGAGAGAAACATCATCAATCAGCTGCCCCCACTGACAATTGAGCCCAGAACCTGGGCATGTGCCTTGAGCAGGGATTGAACCCAAAATATTTTCGTGGGATGATGCCCAACCAACTATACCACACCGACCAGGGCCAGGTCCAGTTTAATTTCTTCTGAAGTGTCACAAAACGTTTGGGGGCAGGAAGGCTTACAGGGGAAGCTGGATTTTACAGAAAGGTCCGGAGGAGAACTGAGAGTATGGAGACAGGCATGGGGACCAGCACTGTGAAAGAGAGACATTTGAAAGCAATGGATGCATCAGTCATTTATATCATCATTGCTGCTGGGACTGGAGTTCAGTGGGAAGCAAAGGCCATTAGAGGCAGTCATGGCCCTTGAAACCTCACGATCTCCTAGGGAATATGTGGTAGATGCTGAGTTGCTCTCCTAACTTCATCTGGTATTGTGGCATAGGGTAACTGTCTCCAGTAACATGACACCTACCCTGATTTTGTGTCCTATCTCCACCCTATGTGCTTTGCAGGTAACATACTCACTTTCTGAACCAGAGGTAGGACACTTATATTAGGCCATAGATTACGTTTTAGAGCCTGGCATATGATGGTTCGGACTGAAGAAGGCATTTGTTGGTAGCTTCTATGCAAAAACAGTGCTTTTCTTTGGGAAGAGGGGTGGGGACAGGCTCACTGGCTGTGCTTAATGGTTGAGCGTCAACCCATGAACCAGGAGGTTACAGTTTGATTCCCAGTCAGGGTATATGCCCTGGTTTCAGGCTCAATCCCCGGGGGGGGGGGGGGGGGGCGCAGAGGGCATCATTGATGTTTCTATATCTTTCCCTTCCTCTCTCTGAAATCAATAAAAACATATTTTTAAAGAAAGGAAAAACAAACATAACAGGCTCTGCTACAGCCCTATTATTTCCACGAAGAGTCAAGCTGAGGATTGAGCCAATATGTAGAGAAAGGTTGAGTCAACAGTGTTGCAGGGAAATCAAGCTGGAGTCTTGATCAAATTTCATGTGATTCACCTCTGGACTTTTGGGTAGCTTACGCTAATAAAGCCGCCTACTGTGTAAGCTAGTTTGAACTGGATTTTCTGTTGCTTGTATCATAAACTAAGAGGATGTGACAATGAGCAAACCTTAAATGTGGGTTGGCTGAGAAGAGATGTTCATGTAGAGAGCATCAGGGACGTCTTTACTCCAACTAGGAGGACGGAGATTCTGGTTTAGCGAAATGGCTGGTATGGGGGCGGGGAGCTGTTGTATTCTGGGATACAGACCTTCTGAGTATGAGACACGACACCTAGAGATCTGGAAATATTCAGGATGTTGACTACCTTCAGTAGTCTTCATTAAGGTCCTAGAAGACATATTTAGGGGGAAGGTGGCCTCTTTGAGAGTGGAGAGAGATGAAAATACAGTGGGGCCTTGACTTACGAGTGTCCCGACTAACGAGTTTTTTGAGATACCAGCTGTCTCTTGGCCGATTTTTTGTATTGAGTTGATAGAGTAATTTGAGTTAACGAGCTCCTTAACGAGCTCGGTCTCGGAACGAATTAAACTCGTAAGTCAAGGCCGCACTGTACAGCTTTGCTAAGAGAGGGCCTTACTGCCTATAGCCTGCAATGGAAAGTGATTGGACGTTGATAAGCAAGTCCTGCTGGATTGGAAAGCTGATTTTTCTGGTTAAAGTTAGAACACAGGCAACAAGTTGGGCGACTTACCAAAAAAAAAAAAAAAAAAGGCTGGGGCCCCAGAAAAATATTGCTCCAGTTACCACATCTCTTCTGAGCATCTTAAGGACCTCAAGTTCAAAGGGGACAATTGACTTATTGTGAAGATGCAGCTGGGATACAGCTGGGGCAAGGAAAAAATGGGGGTAGTTCCCCACTTCAGAGATGAAGGAATATGCCACTCATCTGAGGATCTGAGGAGCGGGGCAGTGGGCAAGACACAGAAGCCAGCTGCCAGATGAAAAATACTGAGTTCAGTATCTCAGCTAGAACTACCAGCTCAGGAACTTAGAAGAAACCCATTCAATTCTTAGGGGATCTAAATTGTCAAAGAAAGTAGCCAATCTCTGAACTTTCACCTACAAGAAGTTGGGTGTTAAAACTATGATTCTCCTTGGAAGGCATCAATCTCATACCCACTCAATGTTAACCAGGCAATAGACGGAGGAGATACACTCAGACCCAGAACTGGGGGCTGCTAACTGATAAAGCAAGCTCCTTGTCTGACTGAGGAACTTGCTTTACCATCAGGATAAGGAATCCTCATGATTGCCTCAACATTGCATGTACTATTGACCAATGACAACTGAGTGTGTTTCCCATTCTCCCCTTCTCCAAATGGAGACTCCCCCTTCTGGATATGCTTCATGCAGGTATCCTGGTTTTTTCTTGGCCCAGCTGGCTAGGCTGATGGTGGTGAACTTCAGAATTTAGTTCATATGTTACCATTCCATGAGTAGCTACTTTCAGACATGATGCTATGATGCATCTTCCAGAAAATAATGAATTGAAAGGGTGAAGGGAAGGGTGGGTATTTCTGATGATTATGCAAAGGAAGGAGAGTATATGAATGTTAGTTCATCAAACGGGTGGACCATAGTGGAATGTTATAGTTACTGCTCTAACACCCATCTCCCCAACTCTGAATAATAATCCTGATTTTGTTCAGGGAACTATGCTTGAACTCACAGCTTACACATGGCTTAGAGAAAGCCAATTCCACTCCCAGGTTGAGGACTGGGGCATAGACCTGTCACTAAGCTTACACAGGGATTCCATGCAGACCTTCGAGACTGAATGAGGCTCTGCTTGGAACTCCTCTTTCTTTTTGGGGTGTCACTGTTGGGAAACATAAGTGCTGGAGCAGCCATTTCACCACATGAGGGGAAACTACCACAACTGAAGCAAACACAAAGAGGAAAAATGGAAAGAATCAGAGAAATGGAGCTGTGACCTTATATTGTCTTCTTTAATATTTGATCCAGCTTAAGAGTTTTCTGTTACTTGCAACCAACCAACAATTATAGAGTGTGATAAATGCTCCATAAAATAAAAGTATGACAAAGTGCTGGGTGAGTGAGAAGGTAGGATAATTAGCTAAGAGAAGCGATGTTTGTTTAAGCATTTAAGCCAGTGGTTCTCGACCTTGGCTGCACATTAGAATCACCTGGGAATCTTTTTTAAATCCTGATTTCTGGGCCTCATCCTCCAGAAATTCTGTTTCTTTGTTATGGGGTGGGGCCACAACATTAGTAACAAAGAAACAGAATTTCCGGAGGATGAGGCCCAGAAATCAGGATTTTAAAAAGATTCCCAGGTGATTCTAATGTGCAGCCAAGGTCGAGAACCACTGAAGCAGTTCTTAGTTTCAAGCACATTCTTTTTGTGGAGTTTTATTGGACTCATTTGCGGCCATCATTAGCATATCTTAGTACATCCAGGTGGAAATAGATGTGCAAAGGCCTTCAGTGCTGGGCATTGCACCTGACATCTAAAAGCCCCAATAAATTTGGAAGGTGAAAGGTAACCTGCCATCTGTCCCTCCCTGTCTCTTGGTAGGCTGGGGGAGTTCCCCAATGTCCACTCACACTGTGAGCGGCCAGCCACTTCTTAACCGTTTTCCTTCACTGCTGTTGCAGAGAATGAATCACATGTCTCCCAGGTTGAGAGCTTTCCTCTCTGAACCCATTGGAGAAAAGGATGTTGTCTGCATAGATGGGATCAGCCATGAACTTGCAATCAATTTGGTCACCAAAGGTTTCAACAAGGTAATTCCTTTTTCCTTATTTCTCCAACTTCTCTTCCCAACCTCTCTTCCCTTAGTCCTGCCAGGTGGTAGCCACTGTCACATGTGCCTATAAGTGGCCATGAGAGAGCAAAGCTGCCACTTGGCAGGGCACCACATGCTTCTGTGCTACAGACCCCACCCACATGCTTGAGCAGCCTCAAGGACCAGTGGGCGATGGGAAAATTGAATCTCTTTGGCTCAGAGCAGCTGAGCCAGGAACGATTCATTTGGTGTTCAAACACCCAGGTGTCCACAGAAGTGAGCCAGCCGCCCGAGTCTGGGGCTGAACTGTTGGGATGGATGGTTTGGAGGCACTCCCCACATCCCTGAAGAGACCTGTGGGGTCTCACTTGCTCCATCAGGGCACCAGCCTCGTGATGGCAGGTGGAGTAACAGCAGCCCAGGGTCTGCACCAGAGTAAGAGGATGTGAGTTATTCAAAGATGTCACTCACAACCCAAGAACAGCCTTAGGGATAGCTGATGCAATCTGAACATTCTTGTCTATATGCTAGTAATTGTTTCTATGGTGCATTATAAGGCTGCTTGGAACTTTAGACAGAAAACAAAGTGAGCACACACAGAGGTGGGCAGGAATTCACACAGAGCCTTGCACGCTCTGTCAAGCGAGGCACCACCAACAAACTGAAGTGCTGCTTACTCCCTTCAGTTTTCAACATCAGCCTCCACCACCAGGCAGGAGGACAGTGCAGAAACATCCAAGGAGGCTGGGAACTGCTGCGTGCACGGCTGACAAGCAGTTTGGTTTGCACCCGCACCGTGTGCAGCTGTTTCCAGGAGGCGTCTGAACTACTGGGCCTGTGGTTTTCTGATGGGCACGCTGCTTTGCACCAGATGTTAAATACTCTAACACCCCAATCTAGCAGCCAATTTAATATCCAATAGGTGGTGTAGTTAGGAGTTGGAGCTTCACCACTGAGGTACATTTGACTCTTTCCTCTCAGATAAAGGAGATAGCACCACCCAGCATGTAATAAAGTAGGCAAGTCTGCCTAGGAGAGACGTATTAAATTAAAAGTTCTTTTAAAAAAGAAATGATTGTCCCTCTTACTTTTCTATTGTGGTGTAGCATACTTAACATTGATATGCAGAGTTCAGCTCAATGAATTTTGTGACAGATATTTATACATCCATGGACCCACTACCTGGATCCAGTGGTCAGATGCCTCCAGAATTCCAGATGGTTCTCTTGTGCCTCTTCCAGATCAATGTCATCCCTCCCTCCCACACGTAACCAGTATTCTGGCTACTACCACCATTTATGTAGTGTTTCCATCATTGTGAGGTTTTGCTGTTGGTCAGCCATATTCACCATTTAAAAAAATAATTTTATTTACATATAGTAAATGTCACCTTTTTAGTACTCAGTTCTGCAAGTTTTGACATGTGCATACACTCATGTAGCTACTACCACAGTCAAGGCATAAAACAATTCTGTCACTCAAAAATGTGCCCCATGATCTTCATAGTCCCCACCCTCAGTCCCTGGCCACCACTGACTTGTTTGTTTTCTGTCCCCATAGTTTTGCCTTTTCCAGCTTCACTGTGTTTTTAACGAGAATTGCAGGTGGGTGATAGGCACGTTTCAGACAAGGGAATGGATGACTGAGAAATTCTCAGACATCCGAGAACTTACTACCCAGAGTTGGGCTGCAGTGGTGACAGCTTTCTTGGCCTGTCTCATGGGTGCTGGTTCTTTCTGCACCCATTCTCAGGACCTGCTGGGATGCAGACCATGAGGCTCCCCTTAGCCCTGAGCCATGAGCACTCTCCCAAGACACCAAAGCACTGGAACCCAGGGCCCCATGTGACTGCCTGGGTCACACACAAGGAAACCCAACCCCAGTGCAGACACAAATATCACTACTATTTAGCAAGACATTGGCAAACTGGAGGGTGGCCCAGACCCGCTCACTGTTCGGACTTGGAGTTGAGGGGAAGTGTGCCCGTGGGCCACCATCCTGCCACGTGGACATGGCTGACACAGGAAAGAATGAACATCCCTGGCTTCCAGGTGGCCACTGTCCAGGTTGTAGGAGTGTGGGACTATATGCTCAGGATTCCTGTCTCTACGTCATCATTCCTACGGCCAGATTTTCCTGAATTTGGCCCAAGGAGGGAGTAGGGCAGTTTCTCTTCTCCAGGGTTAGGGGCTGACTTGCTGGAGCCAGGAGAGAAACTGAGCGGGCTTCTGGCAGGGCCATGACAGGGGTGCACGACTCTGGCTTCCCTTGGGAGCAGGGTGGAGCAAACCTTCCCACTGGTGGAAGGCAGCAGGGTGAAACTAGAGACAGAAAATGGAGAAGGGAGCGTCAGGTTGCAACTTGGCTCTGGAGGCTGCAAGACGAGGCCCTTCTTCCTGCAGCATTCCTGGAAAGTTTGCCTCTGGCCCTGCGTACCATGCATTCCCTGGCTTCCTGGCTGCTGAGCCTGCTGGGGATATGGCGGCTCCGATTACCAGCCCGGTGGATGCTAGCAGCGAGGCCTTCAACATGGCAGAGGACTCCATAGATGCCAGGCCAGACTGTGGACAGTTGGGGTGTGCAAATATGGGGCTGAGGAAAATAGAGTCTTAACTTTTCGATTCTTAGTGACTCTATCTGGAGAATGGGATGGGGCACATGTGAGGATCAGAGGAATTAGAATGTGCCAGGGGCCTGGAGCCCACCAAAGGTACTCAGAAGTGCCACTTACTATCATCATCATCATCATTAATGTTCCCTCTCCTTAGACAAAACTCTGTTTCTTAATCCTGTTATATTCACGTCTGCACCTCCCACACCTACTGCAGCAATTGGCTCAACTAACTAAATTCAATAAATTTTACTTTTTTAAAATGTTCAATTAAAAACATCTCAGTAAAATCCACCACTGAACATTCAAGCATCCTTATAAAGTAAAATGATATCATTCTAAGCAACTATACTGCTTTTTAGGATTATATCAAATAGCGGTTTTAAATGTCCATAAAATCCTGGCTTTTTCTCTTTTCAACAACTGGACCGTGACTCGAAGGAAAAAGCCCAAACTCTGATGCTTGGGTATGTTTTACAACTGGGATTCAGCTTTTATTTAATTTCTTTTTAAAAATATGTTCCCTTTGGCCAAGATGAAGTTAGCGTTGTTTTACGGAACTGTAAACAGACGCCAGGGGTTTTCCTGGAGGTGTCCCAGGACTTGAGGGGTGGACACTGGTTCTCATCCATCCCAAGCTGAAGAGCCCCCAAACCACTCCGAGAGGTTGGCACTTAACATGACTTCAAATCTCCAGGCTTCACTGTTTGGGGGCTGGGCCAATCTGTGATCATATGGTCCTTCTTTTTCTTTCTTTCTTCTTCTTTTTTTTTTTTTTTACCCTCACCTGAGGATATTTTTGCCATTGGTTTTCAGACAGAGTGAAAGGGAGAGAGGAGGGGGCAGGGAGAGAAAGAGAGAGAGAAGTGACCCTTCAGTCCGCAGGCCAACGCTCTAACCACGGAGCAAAATCGGCCAGGGTGATCATACGGTCTTGGGTGCCCCTCTCTCCACGTGCTCCTTGTTCCTCATCAGTAGAGTGTGATTAAAATGGGGAAAAAATAAATGAAACATTGTGGGAGAAAGTAGTTAGAAAACTAAGAATGACATAGACTAGGAATCCTGGAATCTTTATTTTCCATGTGTTTTTCATCCTCAGAGACTCTTCAGAAGGGAAAGATGGGTGTGTTTTAAGCCTTCTGCTCCACCCACAGGGCTGTGCCTCCAGCAGGAAAAAAGAATTCAAACTATTCGAATGCTCTCCCATTGACCTCACTTAATTCCATTTGCAGGATGGGGCAGGGCCTACTATGTGCCTTCAAAGATGCAGAAACTAAGGCCCAGGTTCTCTGGGTTCTCACGCAGAAGCAAATCGGTGCTAAGATGCCCTTCAGCTGCTAGTCCCATGAGTAGTGGCTCTAAATCTAGGGAGATTTTTTCCCCCCAAAGGGACACTTAGTAATGTCTAGGAATGGTTATGAGTGTCACAATTCAGGGGAGTGGGTGTGTGCTCCTGGCATCTAGTTGGTGGAGGCCAGGGACACTGCACAGGACACCCTTCCAACACACACTTATCCAGTATATCAATAGTGCCAATGGCTGGAAACCCTTTGCTAGAATAATTGAGAAAGTAGCAGAGTGAAGAGCATTTCTAAGACCGTATGTGTGTGTGTGTGTGTGTGTGTGTGTGTGTGTGTGTGTGTGTGTGTGTGTGTAGGAGAGAAATATGAGCTCAGAGGTCGAAAGGGTATGCTAGGCTCTTGCTACTCAAAATGTTGTCCTTGGACAACCATCAGCCAGGATTGTTAGAAATGCAGGCTCTCGGGTCCCACCCCAGACTTACTGAGTCAGAACCTGCCTTTTAACAAGATTCCAGGTGATTCATGTGCTCATGATTCATGAAGCTGAGAAGGACAGGCTCTGGTTCATCCCAGACCGGACAGCCTCCAACCCTGCCCCAAGGGATGGGCATTTAACTTGGCCTTACATCTCACCAAGGGCCTGTCCCCAAATCCCCATCGCCCACTCGGGGCTTCGGGACTGCCAGTCTCCCTCAAATATGACCTGCCCTTCCTTTGATGGGGGAGGAAGGGCACCTCTGGTCAAGTTTATTATAACCTTTCCCGTTTTCCTCCCTGCCCCGTCCCCTCTCCACAGGCCTACACCCTGCTGGGACAGTTTCTTCTGATGCACAAGAACGAAATGGAGTTTCAGAGATGGCTCATTTGTTGTTGTGGTGCCACGGAGCGTGAGGCCCAGGAGAGCACTAACTGCCTGAAGGAGTGGTGCTCCTGCTTCCTATGAACGTGTCCCTTGCTCAGCCACCTGCGTAATGACACGTCCTGTACTTACGCCCAGGCTCAGAGTCGTTATTTTTGTTTTTAACTTTAATGATACATGCTTGTTTACAAAAAGTGATTCACGAATATAAAAAAGGACAAACACAAGAAAATGACCCAAAGACCACAACCTAGAAGTGACTATCATTCCCCTTACATCCTGACAAATATCTCAGCATATATTTTATATAAAAGAATGAACAATTTTGCTTAAAAAATGGGAATTTTGTCAGTGTATTAGTTATCTATTGCTGCATAACAAATAAACCCTAAACATAGTAGCTGAAACAATAAGTTTATCTCACATAGTTTCTGAGGGTCAGGAATTATACAACAGGTTGATTTCATTGACCAAGTCACATGGTCATACCTAACTCCAAAGGGGCAAGGATACTTCTGAACTCAGAAAAAGTGGAAATATATCATGACACCAATACTCAATCAAGGTCGTTATTTTTTCCCTGAATGCCTCATGGCTGTTCTATTTCCTAAGTTTATAATATGACTGGGATATTTCTATTAAGGTCTTTTTTAACTCTCTAGCTTTGCTTCTTTAGCTCTCCCCCAAAAAGAGGCCAAAGAGAAGGATTCCAGGTGAGCCAACTGGTTGGCCCAAAGAGTTGAATAGCTCTATCTACTGAGAGCTCAGGTTCTGACCGTCCAGAGTCTTTCCCCTGCTCCCTCCAGAGTAATTCTCCACTAAAATAGTCATGGGATTGGAAGTCACTCTATTTTCACATTCCCAGCTCCCCAAAATCTCCCTCACAGACACTGGGAATGTTTCCCATCAGCTATTCACTCCCTTGTGTCAATTTTTGTCTCCTTCATAGATAAAGTTATTGCTCCAACTCTTCAATTCTCCCTGTATGCCCCACCTTTGTCGTGAAATTTCCCAGTTCCTCCCACTAGAGGCAGAGTAACTCCCAGTCCCCGGATGTAGACTTGGCCAGTGTTGCAAGCTTGAAATGACAGCATGTCAGTTCTGAGGCACATTTCCCCTTGCTCTCCTGTGCCTCTGTCACCACCAAGAGAAGAGCTACAGCTACTTCCTTACCCGGGGTGAGCTACTGAACGGTGCTAAGCCTCGGTTTCCTCACCTGTGAAGTGGGGGCAATAAGGCAATTATCCTGCCTTGCAAGGGGAATGAACTGAAATAATATCTGTTAGGTCTATGATGCATAACAGGAACGCTGTCCCTGTTCTTCAAATCTCCTCGTGCCAGGCCTCCTCGGAGCTTGGTCATCATGTGGCACTCAGGAGAGAATTCACAGCTGCGAGTTGGAGGAGAGCCCAGCTACCAGCTTATCCAATCTAGTTCTATTCTGTCCCACGTGCAAGTACTGAACACTGTATGACTAGTAGGGACACAGTCTTTTAAAAAAAAGAATATGTTTTTATTGATTTCAGAGAGGAATGGAGAGAAAGAGAGAGAGAGAAACATCAATGATGAGAGAGAATCATTGATCGGCTGCATGCCCCCTACTGGAGATCAAGCCCACAACCTGGGCATGTGCCCTTGACTGGAATCGAACCTGGGACCCTTCAGTCCGCAGACCGCCGCCCTATCCACTGAGCCAAATAGCTAGGGCAGTGGCTGGCAAACTCATTAGTCAACAGAGCCAAATATCAACAGTACAACGATTGAAATTTCTTTTGAGAGCCAAATTTTTTAAACTTAAACTATATAGGTAGGTACATTGTTATTAACTTAATTAGGGTACTCGTAAGGCTTAGGAAGAGCCACACTCAAGGGGCCAAAGAGCCGCATGTGGCTCGAGAGCCGCAGTTTGCAAACCACGGAGCTAGGGCAAGGGACACACTCTTTAATGGGTGAGTAGAAAAGGACAACTAATGAAAATCAGATTATTTCAGATTTTTATTGGGATCTTGTTAGTGTCACATTAGCCCATGGAGCCCCAAAAGCATTTTCAAGGACACTCGGAAGGAGTGGGCTTGCATTGTGCCCTCTGCTCAGTCTAAGGCTCATCTAAGGCTACTCGGCAGGGCAGCTGTTTCAATGATTTGGGAAAGAGTTGGTGCCTGAGAATATTTAAATTGTCATGGATTTGACCAGCATCTTAAACAGGAGCTGAGCTGTCTGTGAGGAAGGGGGACCAGATGTTGACTCTTGGCTCAATATCTGTAGTCTGGAAATATTCATAAATCAATAAATGATTTTTATTCGAATTTATAGGGTGTCTAAGGTAGGGTTAGGTGCTATGGAAAAAGCAAGAGAAGCATGAGTTCCTCTAGCTCAGTGGTTCTCAACCTTAGCTGCACATTAGAATCACCTGGGAATCTTTTTAAAATCCTGATTTCTGGGCCTCATCCTCCGGAAATTCTGTTTCTTTGTTACTAATGTTGTGGCCCCACCCCATAACAAAGAAACAGAATTTCTGGAGGATGAGGCCCAGAAATCGGGATTTAAAAAAGATTCCCAGGTGATTCTAATGTGCAGCCAAGGTTGAGAACCACTGCTCTAGCTTCAAGGAGCTTACAACTTAATAAGAGGCGATTGGGAAAAGAGAGGGCAAAAAGCCAAGGTTTAGGAGGTATATCTTAGTTTGAGCGTCCCACCCTGAAGCAGACCCTGAGACATGGTCTGAGGGATCATAGCTTATTCAGGTGTGCTCCCAGGAAATGCTGGTAGCGGAGGGAGGAATGTGGCCGGGAGGGCAAAGCAGCCAATAAAAGTGTGTCATCGCTATTATCACTGTGGGCAACTGGACCTCAGTGCTGCCAGGAACTCCAGGAGCCAGTGTAGACAGGCACTTAGTTACCCCACCCTAGGGTATCTAAACACCCCTCTTATCAGTCATTTGTTGAGCGCTGCTCCCATAGGAAGGTAATCCTTCAGCTCCTGAGCCTGCCACGTGGGTAAAATGAAACTCATTGAGAAAGCAGTCAGGCAGAGAAATCAGGCACTGGCAGCCGCATGCATTGAAGGGGAAAGAGTGAGGGCACATGGCGAGCAGGGTGCCCACAGCTTCTGCCATGCTTGGTTTTGGAGTAGGACACGCTTGACTTGGAAAACAGATCCACCCCTTACCACCCATTCTAAGACCTTTCGAAAGTCACCCTGTTGGCCCAGCTACCCAGCTGTAAAATGATGATGATAATAGTATCTACTCAAGCATTAGGAAGATTAAAACTCTTGGCACCTGCTAAGAGCTTTATACAAGGGTAGCTCTAAAAACCTAGGCATTAAAATGTGTGGCACAGAGTGTGTATTGGTATGTCAATAAAGGAGAGCTGGGTATGGGTGGGAGTGGTCAGGGAAGGCTCCTAGAAAGAGGTGACATTTCAGCTTGGTGTTAAAAGGGGAAGGTCAGGGTTGAATAAGCTGAAGGTGGAGAAGTAGGAAGGGAAGAAGAAGGGAGACAGGCAGCGGGGAGAGAAGGAGCTTCAAGGAGAAAGACAAACACAATTGGCCCAGAAAGAGTGAGTTGTGGGACCCTGTAGGAACAGGTAAGGGGCAGGACTGGAGTTTATAGGGTAAGAGGCCTCCTCCCATTTCCCCAGATAGAAGCTGAGTGTGAGCTGGTAGCTGGCTCTGTTTGAGAAGCCAGTCTCTGCAGGGTCTCCATCCTGAAGAAGGTTAGTGCTCCGCAGCAGTCAGTGGGAGCTGGGGCCCCCATCCATGTTGATAACCCAGAACCAGTTGGCTCTGTTCACCAAACCTTAGAAAGACCCTGCAGCAGCTGATTTTAAAAATACCCACAACCCTTTACTCCACCTCCTGTCCAGACCTGTCACATGACTCTACAGCTCCTCCTGCCAAGAGGTGGAGTTGATCTCCCTTCCTCTTGAATCTGGACTAACCTTGTGACTTGCTTTGGCCAAAATAATATGGCAGATGTGACACTGTGATATCTGCGAGCCTAGGCTTCTCTTGCTCTCCTGACCACCACGTGAACAAACCCGGGCTGCCTGCCAGGAGGATGAGAGGCACATGACCCAATTGTTCCCATTGCCTCGGCCAATAGCCAGCCGACCTCCATACATGTAAGTGAGGCCTTTCTGGACCAGCCAACCCGTCAGGTGACCTCGGATCTGTGAGTCCAGCTGAGATCAGCCATAGCTGGCCCAGACCAGAAAAACCACCCAAATGACCCTCAGGTTCATATAAATAAGTCTTATTATTTCTAAGATACTATATTTGGGGGGACATTTGTCATGCAGCTATAGCTAACCGATAGAACTCCCATGTGAGGCCTGAGTGTGGAGTATCTCCATGTGTATAAGGAGAACCTACTACTTTACTTACTTTTTAGAAATCGCCCTGAGTGATATTTTTGTATATGGTAATAATGAGAGGGATCCCCATGGCTCATACATGAAAATCAGGCAACTGTGGTGGGGGAACGAGTGGGGAGAACAGTGCAACCTAAGCTTTGAACAGAGTGTTTTCTTTAAAGTGTGACTCAGGGTGGAAGTAGGTGGGACAAAACTATGACAATCTCAGAAGGTGAGACAAGAGATATCAATTGTGTGACCAGTTGTGGGTGGCCTGAGTGATTTATTCTTGGAAACCTCTAAAAGAAAGCTGACTCACGGCGATAAACCTAGCAAGTGTTTCTGGAAATATACATATAATTTTTAAACATACATACAATTTTTAAATGTTTGCTGCTCTAAATCTTTACAAGCAGAAATATGAGCAGTTGATTCAGCACACACTATACCAGGAACTTTACCATTCCCCAAATCCTCCCGGTGTGAGTCTGGGGGTATTTTCTCTGCCTTACAGATGAGAAAACTGAGGACCAAAGAGGTTAAGTAGCATGGCCACAATGATTTGGCAAGTCGTTTCAATCTAGGCTGCCTGACATTAAATCTGTACCCACTGCCTGCAGAGCCACCTTGCAAGTGGTGGTAGAGGGTATATTTGGTGATTTAGAGGTGCTTTCAGGGACTCAAAGGTCATACTACCAGGGACAAACAGGCTTTAGAAGGGATAAGAAA